TTTAGCACAAGATCTATGCAAATAAATTTCAAAAATATTAATTTTCAAAAACAGATGTGAGCCACTGTGTATTCAGTCAGTATAAAATGATTAATGATAATGAAAATTGCACACAAAAAATTATGTTAGTTCGTGTATAGTTCTACCATAGGTATCATAATAGCCTATCTACTTATCTAGATCTTAAATGGCATTTTGCTGTACCTTTTCTTTTTTCTCTTTAATTTCTGTTGTTTTTCTTGTTATCCATCTAGTCTTACTTCCTTTCATTCTCTTTCCTCTTGCCTTTTGTACCTTTCTTTTTCCTGATTTACTTTTCGGTGCTTTTTTTTTTTTTTTTTTCTTTTCTTTTGTCTTCTTTTTTCTTAGAAGGTGTAAAAATCACAGCAGAAATGAAAGAAGAAGAAAAAGAGGCCAAAGAATGCCATTTTAAATTTTAGTGGATGGAATAAGTGGGCTATCCATAAAAAAAAAAAAACCACTTGAACTTAGACCACCACAATTTTAAGTGTATGGCTTTAATTTTCATCTACAGTATGATCCCCTAATACTAGAACTTTCAAATATGACCTGGGCTGTCGAATTGTTTGGTAAAAGTATATTTATGGGTACCCATTGGCGGTACATGGATACCGAGTTTGTGCAATTTTTTAACTTGTTATTTTGGCTTGTGTAGTGGTGATTTTTGCTAATCGCCACTACCCAAAGCCCAAAGAATTGCACAAACTCGATATCCATGTACACATCAACCTATTTTCACTTAAAAAAAATCCCAGAATTGCACAAAAATGGCATTGTGCACTCCCTTGACTTAATCCATGTACACATTGACCTATTTTCACTTAAAAAAAAAATCAGAGAGTTGCACAAACTATGCTTTGCACACTCCCTTGACTTTGTCCATGTACACATCAAACTATATTCACTTGAAAAGTCCAAGGAAAAGCATCAATATATATATATATACAGTCAAAAGTCGTTAATCCGGATCGTTGGGACTTCGCGTTCCGGATTATCGATTTTTCCGGATTATAGATCTCAGTTAAATCTGGTAATGGCTGCAGAAATTATAAAATTAAAAATATGAAACCTAATTTACAAATAAAGAACAATTATGATATAAAGGGTTATCAAAATTTACAAAAAAAAAGCTTAATATTTATTGGGTACTTTATAAACATCTTTCAATGTAAGTTGAGTTGCTTCATTTTTTAGTTATAATACATTCTCTTAATTCTATAAAACAGACATAATTTCTTGTTCAGTTACAAAGTTCCGCTGTTCAAGTCCTATAATTGCTGTGTCGAGAATACCGACTAATTTGTCAGTCGAAATTTTTTCGTTTTCAATAACCTCTGTCACTTTCTTCGCTATCAGAAGCGAATTATAATGATGAGGCATTTGATTTAAATCATATCAAAGACGAGATGAAATACTACATTGAGTAAGGAATTAGCGGCGTGCAATGAATTGGTTAAAGATAAACAAAGAATGAATCTTTGTTAAAGATAAACAAAGTTTAGATAAACAAAGGATATGCTTTTATCTATTTTTTGCAGCAATTCCACTTTTTGTTTAATGGACTCCGAAGATACTTTCGCTTGTATATCCTTTACATATTAGTAAATATATATCGGAAATTCATTTGACATAAATCGAAAAATTTCAAGCTTGACTTTATAAAATTGCTCTAACAGTCTGCAAAAATAATAATCGGATCCAATTCGAAGATTAAGGAACAACGCAATCTGCAACATAACGGAAATAGATAATTAAATAATTTTAGCTTAGCTTATACCGTCCGCTATACATTAAACGCGCATTTGCAAACGTATTTTGCGCACACGCACACACAAATTCGCAGCAGTAAAGGTCTTACGTGCATGCGTCAACGCGACGCATGCGCAGAAAGTTTGTAGCTTTGAGGTCCGGATTATAGATCATTCGGGATTATGGGTGTCCGAATTAACGACTTTTGACTGTATATGCTTTTCCTTTTGTTTGGTTTAAAATGCAGTTATTGATATATATATATATTATGCAGTTTATTGATATATATATATATATATATCAATAAACTGCATTTTAAACCAAACAATGAAATAATATAAAAAAGGAAATTCATCTTTGCACTATACAAAGGAACGAACCACTTACCTTATTTAGGAATTAACACGTCTTCACTCAAACAAAATTCCTTAACAACATTCAAAAACTTAGTAAAATTATCTGAACTAGAATCTGTGTACTGGCATCGCCACATAGATTTAGAAAATAAGAGTAAAAAATATCCTTCGTAGTGATGTTCGGCCGTACACATTTCTAACATTTGACCATTTCCTTCCTATAAACAGGACACCTAATGATGGCTACTAAGTAAACCTTCATTTACACATCAGGCGAGTAATGGTCTTTTCCTCTTTCTATCCAAATCGTACAGAAACTTCAAATTAATCTTACTACATTCAGCCATTTTACCATCTAAACCACAAAACAAGCAATATACTTCCTAACCAACACACACACCACAAGCCCTTAAGAATTTACCGCAATCATGCAACCTGTTACTTCATAACAGGGTTTCCATAACATTCAGCTACTCAGGCTAACATAAATGAAACAACTTCGCGATAATACAAGGGCTACCCTTCTCTCTACTCTAACCAATTTTTTTAAATGCTATTTTTATATGACACAGTAATGGCCTTGAATGTTTTGTGTTACCTACATTGTTTTGGGAACTTAAAATTTGCTGATGATAGCCGCTAAATTTAAAGTTTTTCAAATTATTGCAAAACAAAGGTGAAATTTTCTAATTAATGGATTTTTTAGTGAAATGTGGAGAAGCGGTAATAAATGAAGATGATATAAAAGAAGTTTTTCATTGTGATGACAACGCTTCTCAATCATCAATCAATTAATGAATGGCAAAATCTGTAGTATGGTTCTAGATCCAGAAAATACCGCTACCAATAGTGAAAAACGTGACAGAGAAGTTACTGAAAACAAGAAAATTTTGATTGACAAATTAGTCGGCATTCTCAAAACAGCAGTTACAGGACTTCAACAATGTAACTAAACAATAGATAATGTCTGTGTACAGAATTAAAGAGAAAGTAGTAGCAAAAAAACGAAACAACTTACATTGAAAGAAATGTACAATAAGGTAAACAAATAAATATTTAAGCTTTTTTTGTAACTTTTGATACCCTTTAGATCATAAATATTTTATAATTTCTACATGCCATCGTACTAGATTTAAACTGATAATTTGAAAATACTGATAAACTGATAACCAGAAAAAATCCCAAATCTGGAATTGCCGAAGACCCGACGAGTCCAGATTTCGGATTTAGTACTGTAATTCAAACTTTTTTTTCAAAAAAATATGTAAAAATGATTTAAAAATACAAATTTTAAAAATAAATCATAAAAAATTGGCGAATTTTATTTGGAATGAACCTGAATTTCGAAATATGAAAGTAAGAATCAAATAAGTTTAATAAAAAAGAGATATTAATAAATATGTATCAAATTCATTTAACATTGAGGAGCTAAAATTTTGAGAGGTAATTTTTTTAAAAAAACTATTCATGCGATTTTTACAAAACTTGGCATTTTGCCATAATTTGAATCGTAGAATTGAAATATGAAAAAAAACTGGCATGTCATTTTAGAAGAAGTCCAATTTTATGTCAAAATACCTATAATAGAACAATGCTTATATGAAGCTAATAGATGTTTTAAGTCATGCTTTCGAGACATAAAAAACACAAGTTGAATTTTGTCAATAGGCCGAGCAGAATAGGAGATGTAGAACTGTCACTTTTTTTTTTTCACCGTGTACATTTAAATTTTCAGTGTCTTAGAAATGAACATTGAAATCTTCTTTTAAATTTTGCAAGTAGTTATATAGAAAGTAGTTGTATAGAAAATGTCTTCTGAGGAAATACAATTTTTTTCCAAAATGTACAGTTGTATTAAATTATCAGAGCTATCCTGACCTTTCAATAGACATCTACTGTCACACTAAAGGGATTTTTGAAAGCAATAATACTTATGCATATCATCTCCTTGCATCAATTGCCCTTTTTGCTTTTAAACAGAAACTTCGTTTTCTGTATGATATGTCACAGAACATATCTATTGAAAGTTTGATTGGTGGAGCTTTCTTTTGGAATTCTGTCAACACTGAGCCACGTGTTAAATTAACAGAAACCTTGTCATGGTGCCTTTGCTTTTAGGTTGCATTATTTGTGGATCTCATTTCAAAACTATTGTTACTCTGTTATCTGTAATTCATAATGTATCGATCGTCACGCACAAAATAGATGAAGATGTTTTTTGGAACTTGGAAACCATTGTCATTAAGCTTTCTCAAGACAGAGAAACGTTTGCTATTGATACAGAAATTTTGAATCGTTTTCACTATCTACAGAATAACGCAAGGACGTTGAGTTGTGAAGTTGTTATAGAAACAGAATGTCACCTAATCTTCTGACAGTTATGAAGTGGCCCTGAAATATTTGTATATCTTTGAAAAAAAAAAAAAAAAAAAACTCTTTTAATCCAGATTTAGAGCATGTTTATATGGAATTCATCCAAGATTATACGTATTTAATTTTCATAAATATGTATTTAACTTTCAGTTTAGATTGTATTAGACTTTGCCGTTTCCTATTTGAGAAATATTGCTAAATGTTTCCTAGATAATTGTTTGCATGAAACACTACTAGATCTCATGAACATGTATATTCCTGATGTAGCTTTGTCATTGATTAGGAGAGATTTTACATGAAATTTTGTGATTAAAAGTTATTGAGAAGGGAAAATACCCATTGTATGCTTATCCTCATGTGTCATATAATACCATAAATTTAAGGTAGTCATAATTTTTTCATTTTCTAAATTAATATAGAATTTTTTAATAATGTTAAAAAAAAGTAGGTTTCATTTTTTTTTAAACTTGTATTTACTTGTTGAATTTTTCTTTAGGTGTCAACTTTTAAACTTGAAGCCGTGTACCCATTCTGTAATAATGAAGGATTTATGTGCAGAATGTGGGACAGATCTAAGACAGTAAGTTTATATAAAAATTAAATTTATGTTTAATTTTTTTCATTTTTCATAGTATGCTGTAGTCTGCAGAAAAGACGTCAGTATGTATATATCAGGGTTGTCACGCTACCTGGAAAACAGGAAAAAGTTGGAGAATCCGAAAACTGACCAAAGAAATCAGGGAAAAATTAGGGAATTTAAATATTTTGGTCAAATCTAGAAAAATCATGGAATTCTGTACAGCGATCCCCAAAAAAGCGATTTTTGTGCCGTTGGAAGCCATCACTTTCTTGGCGAATCATGTATTGCTTGAATGATATTTAGACTGCTGGCGCAGAGCCAATTTTGCAGCACCAATCAGATTATCTTTTAGAAAGGCAAAACAAATTTCCAGCTTCTTTGGTTCCACTAACCTCAAAAATCGCGTACACATGTGCAGTGCATGTTGAACAAAGGTAAATTCCCCGCCCCCATTCTCGTATATAACAAAATTGTTTAAACTTCTTCTTTCTTAAAGGCCTTTTTTGTAATTGTGCAGGGGAAGAAAAAACAGTCGTCTAGGCTAACCATTTAATATACCTATATTTGTCAAAATGCTGTCGATTTTTGTAATTCAATTTTTAATCCTTAAGTAATAACTGTATTTTAAGGTTATTTGTATCATTTAATGTGTCCTCTTCCTTCTAAATTTATTTATTATTAGTTAATAATACTTTCAAATTTCAGGCAGTTTTCTCTAGCACACTTGTGAAACCTATTCTAGCAGTATGATGACATACTGTTACAGAATTTAGGGCACATACTTCTTACTTATGTATGCTACTAAATAAATTTAAAATGTTTGAATTTATTTTACAATATCATTAAATAGATTTCTTTAGCTGCAAAATGTCTGCAGAAAAGACGTTTTTTAATCCCGATTGGGTAGATTCTAATCTCAATTCTCAGTGGGAAAAGCAACTCCTATTATAGTTATATAAGTAATGCTTTGGGGATATATAATACGAGGCGTATTCGGAAACTAATTACCGTTTTGAAAAAAAAAAAAAAAAAAAAAATAGTAAAACAATTTTTTCGAATACAATTTTATTTTTACATGAAAATACATGTCTTAAACTATTTTTCAACATAGTTTCCGCCAATGATCAAACACTTATCATAGCGGGTGACCAGTTTTTGTATACCATCGTCAAAGAAACTTCCTGCCAGTTTCGATAACCACAACTCCACAGCATTTTTCGTGTCATTGTCAGATCCAAAGCGCTTGCCACCAAGCTCGCACTTCATGTGCAGGAACAAGTGATAGTCGGACGGCGCCAAGTCCAAGCTGTACGGCGAGTGATCGAACTGCTCCCAATGAAACTGTCGCAGAGTTGCCAACTCTCCCGATTTTCGACCGCTCTCCCGCCAACCCGATTTACAATATATTTCTCCTGACTTTTTCTTATTCTTAAAATTTCTCACGATTTTTATGGAACTTGGCTTAATGCTTTGTTATATGAACAAAAAAAAGTGATTTTGGACGTCTGAAAGCAATTGAATTTTCTCTAGCTTATATCTAAAACAAAACCTTGCGAATTAGATAACTTTGCTTTGTGAGTGAGAGCATATATGTATCCAGAAAGGTCGTTCTCCAGTTCTCCAATGGCATCATGCTCCACTGCGTGTCATCTGGCATATGTTAGCCAATGAGGACAACGCAAACTGTTATTTGGATTTTCTTTAGTTATTTCGGTCATTTTGTCGTGAGTTGTGTGAGTACACATGCCTTCGGGAAATAGTTTTAGAAATTATCATCTTATATGTCTGCTTATGTGTATGCATTTTATATGTCAATTTATGTCTGCGAGAAAGGTGAAATACTTCATGTATGTTTCAAAAACTTGTACACAGTTGACTTTCCTTCCATTATTTCCTCAAGGAAATGTAATAAATTTGCGATGTGTACCTGCCTGTCCATTGCGATTTTTTTTATTTTCGCATGGATGGAAGGGCAGATGTTCTCAAACATCTGCGTACACAAAAAACAAGGACAACATGAGTTGTTTTGGAAAAAAAAAAAAAAAAAACGGAAAAAATTAAATTTTTCTTTCAGAAACAAGAGGACCTAAAAAGTTATTAATGCAGAATGTCTGTTTTCTGCCTTTTTGCAGGAGTACAACCTGCCACTGAATGCATCGGATCACGCTGCAGCTTTATTTAGAAAAATGTTTCCGATAGTGAGATCCCTAAGAAATATTCAAGTGCAAGAACCAAAACAGGTGCAATTGTTAAAGAAATGGGTTTGAAAAATAAATCATCAGTTATTGATTGCAATAAAACAGCTCCATTCTGCCTGTCTATGGATGGAAGCAATAATGCCAATTCAAAACTGTATCCAATTGTTGTTTCTTTTTATAATCCAGAGTCTTCAGAAATTGAGTGCAGTTTACTTTCTGTCCCCACTTTAGAAGGACATTTGACAGGCTTTAATATACCACAGCTAATTATTAAAACTTTAAAAGAAAGTGTAGTCCCTCTGTATAATTGCTTAGCACTTGGTGCTGATAATACACCAGTATTGGTAGGCTTGAATACTGGTGTTGCAGGCATCTTAGGAAAATTCAGATTTGCAGATTATGAGGTGCACCTGTCGCCCCTTAAATTTAGCAGCTGAAAAAAGGGCAGCTTCTTTATCAATAAATGTGGATGAACACATTGTTGATATTTATTATTATCTTGAAAGGAGTTCTAAAAAGAAGGAAAAATTGAAAGAGTTCCAACAGCTGCATAACAGCAGTTTACAATTAGAGAACTTGGATGAAGTTATAAAATCAGCTAAGATTGACACCCAGTGGAGTTTAATTAGAAAACTGAAAGATGCTGATGAAATTTTGAAATATAGTGAACTGTCTAGAATTATGTTGGCGATCTTGACAGTTCCCCATAGTAATGCAGAGTGTGAGAGGATTTTCAGTGTTGTTACGAAAACGAGGACTAAATTTAGATCTAATATTCGTGATGACACATTAAAAAAAACTTTTATTAGCGAAAGCAGGCCTACGTGGCAATTGCTATGAACAAAATTATGACGTTTCTTTCTTAAAGAAAGCTAAATCTGCCACTGTTTATAACATTTGTACGAAAACTGGTTAAAGTTTTTTTTTTTTTTTTTTCGTTTTTTTAAACGATGCAAGTAATAAAAATGTTTTTTATGTGTAAGGTATTTTTGTGTTGCTTGCATTTACGAATTAGTTACTATTTAAAATTAATTCATTATTAAAAACTATATTTTCATCATTTAAAGTCTTTTTAACATTGTGAAAAATCTCCCGATTTTTTAAAAAAATCTCCTGATTTTTGAGTGGCATAGGTTGGCAAGTATGCTGTCGAATTAACGATTGAGGGACACCAGCAGTATGGGGCCCGAGCATTGTCATGGAGCAACACAATTCCTTTACTGAGCTTTCCTCTTCGTTTGTTTTGAATGGAACGCCTTAGTTTTGTTAAATCTCACAATATCGTGCCGCATTAATGGTTTCACCTCTTAGATGAAATTCAGTAAGCAAAACGCCTTTCCTATCCCAGAAGACAGTGCACATGATTTTTTGTGATGACATTGTCACTTTGAACTTTTGTTTTTTCGGAGAATGAGTGTGTCTCCACTCCATCGATTGTTGTTTCGATTCTTGTGTGAAATGACACAACCAAGTTTCATCACCTGTCACAATTTGATTTAAAAAGTTTTCTCCCTCATCACTGTACAGCGTGAGAAATGTCAGGGCACTACCAAGTCGCTTTGTTTTGTGAACATCAGTGAGCATTTTTGGAACCCATCGGGAACACAGTTTGCGGTAATTCAAGCGGTCAGACACAATTTCGAACAAAACAGTATGTGAAATTTGTGGAAATGCCTCTGAAAGAGTTGCCATTGTGAAGCGTGTGTTCTCATGAATTGCTTCATCAACTTTCCTTACCAAATCATCGGTGACAACAGAAGGCCGAGCCTCGCCGTGGACATTTGTTCGACCTGCATTGAACATTCTTACCCGCTTTCTCACCATTCCATCACTTATCGCATATTCATCTTAAACTTCTGTCACTTGACGATAAATTTCGGCCGGTTAATCCGGTTCTTTAACATTCCTCGCGTTTCAACAAAAAAAAAAAAAAAAAAAAAAAAAAAAAAAAAAAAAAAAAAAAAAAAAAAAAAAAAAAAAAAAAAAAAAAAAAAAAAAACAAAAAAAAAAAAAAAAAACAAAACAAAAAAACACCAAAATTTCGGCGGGTCCTCGGTTCAAAAATTTAATCACGGCACGAATCTCACAGTCAGCGGGAGAGCTAATTGTCTCAAACATTTTGAATGTGCACAGCAAACTGAAAACACAATATAGAGCAACCAAAATGGCAACAATTGAAAGTCAGTGAACAAAAAAGACTAGTGCGCATGCTCGGGACGCCTACCACAGCGCTGCGACGGCACTAGAATGAAATGGTACTTAGTTTCCGAATACGCTACGTATATATATGTATATAAAGTCATATGTAATTGGAAGATTTTTTGTGTTTTCAAGTGTTAACATAATTAATTTACTCTCAGCAGAGCCAATGTGGGCTATGTAGATAGTCTAGAATTTTTTTGAAACACGCCTGCAAAAATGAAAGCATTTCATTCTTGCGCTTGAGTGGCAACATATACCATGTAATTTTAGATCTTAGTCTGCCACAGAACAGTTTTTAGATGCAGTCGAGAGACTAATAGCCAGAGGGGGAAGTCTTCTTTTCTCTCTAACTTAAGTGTATCTACAGTGGAATATATTTCTTAACATTGGTCGACAGGACAGAAAGGTAATCAAATTTCACTTTTGACATGGTACTGGCAATATAATTAATACTTGAAAAAGAAAAAGAAAAAAAAAAAAAAAAAGTGGCTTGGAAGGTCCTAAAAAAGTAGCTTATTGAGAATTAATCGGGATATTAAATGAAAGTGCACATGTTATGTGTCTGTTACACATATCAATAATTTGTGGTAATTCACGGTG